ACCCCCCCCCCCCCCCGTTGCCTATGTGCTTAAGTCCCTTTAGGCTTTAGGGCCTTGACTGAAGCCTGCAATTCTTGACTACACGACAAAGTGGCAACATCCGACAAGGCAGCTGCCTGGAAACGAATGGTCACATCGGACATCAACAACGTGCTACAATACACTTGCGCATTATGGATCAACACAGAATCCAAACCCAAAGCCCTACTGCAGGGGCCTTAATGGTTGGAATAAGGTTTCAGGGTCCTCTACACCATAATTATTAAAAGGAACCCCCCCTCTCACCCGAAAAAATAGTATAGGGATTTATTTAGGCATCAAAATTTACCCCCTGTGATCCGGTCCTTCCATGGGTTGTAGCAGCTGGGGCCACAGCCGGGAGTCAGAGCCTCAAGGTGGAGAACACGGCAACAGGGCAGAGCATACAAGTTAGTGTTTAGGGCTTAGGGTTGAGGGCTTTGGGTTTAGGGTTTAGGGCGTAGTATGAGATTCAGGTTTGCAGGTATAGTGCTGATATTGCTTCCATATGCAACTTGCGCAGGGTCGAGCTGTAAGAGCTTGGCATGAAACAAAACGGTGACGAACATATCTGTTCAGTCTAGCTAGCTGTCACACACCTTTCCTATTCCGGCTCTGCCAAGTTTTGGCACGAAGAGGTACAGGCCATGGTTCGACGGTGCTGGTGCCCGGTGCAGTCTTAAACTGCAAACAATGAAACATCCAATGCCGAACTGCAAACCGGCAGATGTTAACCGTAGATATCCATAACCCGAAACTCTGCGTTTGAATTCCGAAACCGTCTTCAGCACTTCTCATACCCAGTATCCACTAAGACAACAGACACACAACTGGGATCTCTAGCAGCTCCTTCGAACTATCCATGGAGCACAGCAGGCTTCACACCTCCGTTGGGTTGAGACTGTACTCAAAAGACCCTAAGCCTTAAACCCCAAACCATTACTATGGATACAAGGGGTTTAGTCTCAGCTTGGTACCCACAAGGACGCCGAGACCAAGGGTCCAACATACCCATCGAGGGTATGTTGGTTCAGGGTTTAGGGTTTTGGGTTTATGACTTTTCGTAAGTGCTAGATGCCTTGACCCACAGGGAGGGGATTTCTCTTGGTTTGTCCAACAGCCCCTGACTGCTTGGCACCTCCGTGGTGAGGAACACGGAATGTGGGATGTAGTCCCGCCACTCCTGCCGAAGTATTGGAATCTCGGTCATGATTGTACCGGCGATTTTGCACATCATGTTGTAACTAGGATCGGCAACAGCGAGACCGTTCCAGACAGAATTAAGATGGCTAGCAGCAACTAACTAAGGCAAGGCCGGCAAGCAGTCTCATGAAGGAATCAACGGTGTCGGTTACGGTGGGCACGAGGGCCGTGATGCTGGGGATGACAATTCAAAAACACATGCGGACGATGCCGATGCCAGTGGTAAACCCTGAACCCGGAATGGTACTGTTGATGAAGACCATAATCTTCAAACCGAAGAACAAAATGGCGGTGTTCCAGAAACACCTACAATCTGTTGTCTCTGATGGTGTCGATGCCGATGTTGTTGATGTTAGTGATGACTGGAAGAAACCCCTTTGAAGGAACCGATAAGGGCTCCTTTAAGGTACAGGTAACCTCTCAACCCTCACAGCTTCCGACAGATGTTGCCTAAACCCTCATAGAAACTCTCAAAAACAACCCTTAAATGAACGAAGCCTGAAAAACCCTTAAAGAGCCCTGGGAATATACCCCCCTCACACCCACACAGTACCCATATAAACCCCTCAAAGAGCCCAAAAGGAACCCCCTAAGCCTAAAACGAGCCCTTAACGGAACCCTAAACTCTTACAGAAAACGCGGGTGCTCCGGAAAGAAGTTCATCCCCTGATCGGAGAAGATGAAGATGTGGTCACGGCCCAGCTGTCGGGACCAATGTGGAAGCAGCTCATCCTCCAAAAGCTTCTGAGGTTTTTTGTCTTCTTAGTGTTTAGGGTTGAGGGTTTAGGGTTTACCTAGGGTTCAGGGTTTAGGGGTTGAGGGTTTCTTACAGGGCACCTTCAAGGGTTCGTTTGTGCTTAGGCTTCCTTAACCAGTTTCGGCAAAAAAAGGCTCTTTCAGGGTCTTTTTTGGCTTGGGGTTAGACTTAAACCATTAAAGGGCCTGGGATTTTGGCTTCGGGGTTTGGGGCTAGGTGGGGTTTAGGGTTTCGGTAGGGTTTAGGGTTTAGGGACTAAGGCTCAGCTCTTCTTTCCCAAGGCCTTCAAGACTTCCTCGAGAGCTTCTTCTTCTTAGAGGTCTTTTTGATCAGACTCCGCTGGTGCCACATAGTCTTCACTCGCTTCCTGTCCAAAGAGAACTTCTTGGAAAAGTGTCTCGGGAACTCAGTTTCGTCAGAGAAGCTGTTCGCTGTAACAGCGCGTTCCATCTCTTGCACGAGAGCTGCCCGCACGGCAACTGGGAGATCGCTTCTCCCAGAGGCCGTCTCCTTGAATCGACACTTGAACCCCCCCAGACTCAAATCCACAATGACTGCGGCAAACGTTCCTGACTGCTAATCGGAGCAGCCTTGGGGGCGGCCTCCGTAGGACCGCTTCTTGCTTTGCACTGAGCTTTCTCGAGGTTTCGCCTCTGAGCTTTGGTCGTTGAATTTGGGCGTTGTCGTGGCATTGAGAAATGGGGGTTTCCGAAAATAGGGGACCCTAATATAGCACCCTAAATAGTAGGATCCCTATTATAAGGACCCCAAAATAAGGTACCCCAATTTTCTGAAACTCCCAAATTGAACCCTAAACCCTAAGCTGTTGTTTTGTGACTTGCATAGGGACTCATAGGAGGAAATCAACACAAGGAGCCTCCGAAAAGGTAGGTTCTTTCTGAACCCTATATACCCTACACTCTAAACCCTAAACCCTCTAGAAATTCAGGTAGACCCTAAACGCTGAACACCTACCCTATATACCATACACTCTAAACCCTAAACCCTCTAGGCTCCAGGCAGACCCTAACCGCTGAACACCCACTTATCAGATCTCGGGATCCTTGGAAGTCAGGTTGGTTAATGATGACTCGGCTTGTGAGGGGTGGGTTGCTAGATGATCTACATGTGTTTGCAAGTGCTTGTACATATATATATATATACACACACACATACACATAAAAAATGTCTATAGCTAGAAATATATAAATCACAAAAAATAGTATCTGTGAAAATGTATATATATATATACACAGTGTATACATGTATGCATATGTAAGGATGTGTATGTACATAGATGTACATACCTACTTCCTGAAAGAGCCAGGGAAACAAAAGTATAAACCTTCACATTACTAGTAAATTATAAGAACACAAAAAAATCAAAGGTTGGGTATTGGGGGCACTAAGCTTAGTATACACATGCGTATTCTTACAACCTGCACTCGAAACCCAAGCGGCAGACCCTCAAGCTGTCAAGCTGTAAACTCGAAGCATGGATAGGACTCACTTGATTCGGGAACTTTGCCATGAACTGCAAAAGTGAGCTTCCACCAGCTCCCTGAAGCCATAAACCCTAAACTCTGATTGAAAGCCTATGCCCTCAAGCCTAGACCTTTAAACTGGGCTCTTTTTGCTTCAGTTGAATCATAGGTCCTCGCCAGAAGCCCTGAAACCCACAAGTCTCGGAAATCTGGCATCATAGAGGCTCACGGTGTGAGGGTTAGGATTTAGGATTTAGGGTTTAGGGTTTAGGGTTAGGATTTAGGCAAGGTTGAGGGCATGCCGGGATACTCTGAGGCGCTGTCACATCCTAACCGGCAGACATGCAAAAAAAAGAAACGCCAAGGGGAGGACGACCCACGATTCTATCCTTGATATAGGCTAAGAGGGAGCGGATGCCGGGGCATTCGATCCAGGTTGTGTAGAGATGCCTGAAGACCCATACATCTCCAAGTACCTCATAACCCTAACAATCACACATGGCTAACTAACCCCCAATGCTACTGTTCACAAGCCCAAGTAAATACATGCTTGTTGGGTCATGAAGTGCACTATGCCGTCGTCCGTGCAGCGCCGTCCTTGCGCCGCATGAGGTCCAGGTACACAGCAGAGATGTCGCCGACGGGCTCACGCGATCTGGAAATAGGATCGGGGAGCTTTTAGGTTCAAACCCCACAGCCACGACATCGCACTGAAGCCCTGACGTCAGAAAGCCCTCTCTAAGCCTCACACCCTGGCCTAAAGGGCTTCAGCTTCCAAAGACCTGCGACCTTAAATATGGTTTTGTGGACGATCTCACCCCTAAACCCTAAACCCTAAACCCTAAACCCTAAACCCTAAACCCTAAACCCTAAACCCCCTAAACTCCTTTTTCATAGGGGCTCCTGGAGTTCCACCATCCTTTAAGAGTGCCTCATGGGTATGTGCAGCTCGCCCTATTTTGGAATCCTTATGCGAAGGATCCGACTTGCGAGAGTTGTACTTATTTTCAAGATCGGCGTAAGGATCTTGTTCTTGGGCATATAGCATCTAGTCCCTAAACCCTGAACCCTAAAGACTCCCTGGAGATGGCTTCGTAAGCTTCAGTGCGCAATTCTACACCCTGAACCCTGAACTGCCCCCAAACCAAAAAATCAAAAGCCCTAAACCTTGAGCCCTAAGCCCAAGAGCCCAAAATCCCAAACCCTGATCGCTAAAATCCGTCTCTCTCCGGGCTTCCGAGCCCTGATCTCGAAAACGGTCGTTTCCGCAAAACAATGGAAACACCTCCGTTACTCCCGGGGTGTAGAAAGGTTTAGGGTTTAGGGTTCAAGGTTTAGGAAGCCCTATGCCCGAAAAACCTACGTAGTTTTGCGGGCCCGAATAATTGGAATAGGGCTTTTTTTTTGGTGTACCTTACAAAAGAATGTTAGGAACCCTGAGGGGGAAAAAATGGTCAGGTTGCTAGTCTGCTACGTACACTCACAGGTATCGCTGAGGACCCTGCTGATTCATTCGGAAGATCATCCGGTCACCTTAGTTGCGCAAGCTGTAAGAGAAGGCCCTTCAAGGGCCGTTTTTGGTTTTTAGGGCTAGAAATGAACCCTGAAAGCGCTTGGGATTTTGGCTTAAGGGTTTAAGTTTAGGGTTTACAGGATGTTTAGGGTCTACCTGGACCCTACGGAACATACCTGTCTAAGGACTCTTATTAGGACATCAGGATAAGGAGCCGTTAACATGCAGACTACGCAAGGTCCAGGCTGGGGTACATGGGTCAAGAAAAGCCTGACGACCTTGGTACCTCACTGTCATATAAGTATTCCCACAAACACTAACCTACCTTACTGTGACAGCCTCGTCCTAAACCATACTAAACCGCCTAGGCCCTAAACATGCCGAACAGGAAGTCCTGTGGCCTGAGACCCGAGTGTATACTGTCTGGATACTTGGAACTTATGGGATAGGAAACTCCGATGGTCCAAGGACACCTGTTAGAGAAGTCGGTCTTACACTCATGCATTGTGCGTACGTGTAAGCGTGTATATAGACACACATCTATGCATATAAATATATATATATATATATATATGTGTGTGTGTGATGTACTGGGATCTAATTGCCGCATAAAAGCTGAAGCCAAACTAAGCCGTCTAGCACAACAAACAAACTTCTAGAACTCGATACGGAGAGGGGGCCCTACATCCCAAACATGCGTAAACCATCAACCCTGCAAGCACCAAAAACCCAGGCTTTATACCCCCCCGTTTAGAAACCTGTTTTCTATCCTTTGGCACAGGCTCCCGGAGAACCTGCAGTCCAGACTACATCGGTCTTCACTTGCTCTGACTGTGATTGAGCCGTCGGCTCGCCGGAGGCTGGATTCATTCATTATACTATACAGAGAGCCTATCACCCAATAGTACATAAAGGTCTTTCGTACGAACCGCTAAACCCTCAACAATAAAACCTAAACCCTAAGCCCTAAACCCTGATTCCTAAAACCTAAAGCCTAAAGCCTAAAGCCTAAACCCTAAACCCCTAAACCCCTAAACCTCTAAACCGTAAACCAAGGAAAGGGCCAAGTCACACCAGGTGAACCATGGCACCAGGAAGTAGTCCGCCTCCTCGGTCGGTTCAAAGGAGGGCCGTTTAAGGCTTAGGGTTTCAGGGTCTAGGGTCTAGGGTTTAGGGTTTAGGCTTTAGGGCCGTTTGAGGCTTAGAGTCTTAAGGTGTAGCTGGGTCTGGGATGGTTTAGGGCTGGAAGCCCAGGGGTTTTGAGGTTAAGGGTTTTACGAAAGTTGCTATAGCTATAAGGATTCTAGAAAGTTGTGTAAGGCTTTGCGGCGATCCTGCTTTGAGGGTTGTATCAAGAGAGAATCGCCAGTGTGGGTGGCCCTTCTCTGTGCTGTCGAACTGGGCGATGCTCCCACCGCAGCATTGAGTTTAGGGTTTAGGGTTTAGGGTTTAGGGTTTAGGGTTTAGGGTTTAGGGTTTAGGGTTTAGGGCTTGTAGGAGTCTCATCAAGGTCTGGGGTTTAGGGCTTAGGGTTATCCTAAAACGACTGTAACCCTGGGGGCGCAGCATGTGACAGCATTTGGGGGTTTCTGAAAATTAGGGGTACCTTATTTTGGGGTCCTTATATTAAGGATCCTATTATTTAGGGTGCTGTATTAGGGTCCCCTATTTTCGGAAACCCCCATTTGGTGGGTGACCACAGCAGTCTTGAAGTTGATCTGGTTAAGGACGGTAGTGGCAACCTGAAGGTACTGGCCATAAGTGTTGCCGGTGATGGTCAGAGTCCGCAAAGCATCGGAATCATGGGGAACCACATGTACTCTAGGGTTTCGGGTTTAGGGGTTTAGGGGTTTAGGGTTTAGGGTTTAGGACTCAAAAGGTCGGGCCGATTACGACTCGCTCACGTTGACGAGGCCGATCGAAAACAAGTGTTGCTGTCTTGCCCTGCCATTGCTTCAAAGGCAGCGGGAATAGCCGGACTGCGAATGGGCGCGGAAGCGACAGTGCAGCGCAGTTAACAGAAACCACCGAAGCACGCGAAGTCCACCAAGTGCCTCGACACAAGGACTACCAAATCAATGCCCAAAACCTAGAATCCTCCAACCTAAAATACCCTAAACCCCAACCTAGAAACCGCCAACCAAAAAACACCCTAAACACCTAAACCTAGAAACGCCCAACCTACAAACACCCTAAACCAAACCCTTAACCTAGAAACACCCTACCTAAAAACTCTCTAAACCCCAAACCTAGAATCCTCCAACCCAAAAGCACCCTAAACCCTAAACCGTTGAAGAAATTGGTCCATGCCACAAAGAATGGCTCGGAGCAATTCAACAAACTTACCAGGTTTAGGGCTTAGGGTTTAGGGGTTTAGGGTTTAGGGGTTTAAGGTTTAGGGTTTTGGGAATAGCAGGAAGCGCTTCAGGAGAAAATGCAACTCTACCTCGCCCGAGCAAAACTGCATACTCTGACTTTTTCAGCATCTGGCCCTATAGCTTGAGCCCTAAACTCCTAAACCCCTAAACCCCTGAGCCCAAATACCCTAAACCCTAAACCATATACTGAACTCTTAAAATCTAAACCCTAAGACTTAAACCCTAAGTAATCATCGGACCCCCGCACCCTAAGCCTTCAGCCGTGCCTAGCAGCCCTAAGTCTCTTTAGACCTATAGACCCTCGCCCACATGCTGGGCGTTTTGTTACGGAACGTCATCTGTTGATATGGTTAAGGTTTTTTTAGGGTTTTGAGTTTGAGTATAGGGGTTTGGGGTTTAGGACTTATGCAGTTTAGGGCTTAACGAGGGTTTAGGGGTCTAGGGGTTTATAGGGTTTTGGAGTCAAAGTGTGCCGCCTCATGGCAAACTGTCATCTTCTCTTCGCGAACGATAGAGCCTAGGACCCCTCAACCCTAAAGTAATGCCCCCGACGCTTATCTAGAAGCCTAAATTCCCTAAACCCTAAACCCTAAACCTTAAATAATTGCAAGTATTCTTCCCTAAGGTTGCTTCTTATAACTTTACTCTAAAGGAAGCCCAAAAACCCTATTCTAATTATTAAGGCGCCTACATGAAACCCTTATAGTACCCCTTATAGTAACCCCTTTAAGGGAACCCTTAAAGGATCCCTAGCCTAATTATTAAACCCTAAACCCTAAACCCTAAACCCTAAACCCTATATTAAGGACTCTACATTAATTAGAAAAAGACAGCCCGGGCGCCTCCGGATCCCGGGTCTGGCAGGAGCCTCGACGAAACCAGTACCTAAAGCGAGGGGCTCTGTCGGATTCTAGTAGGGTTTAGGGTTTAGGCTTTAGGATTCTAGGGTTTAGGGTTTAGGATTCTAGGGTTTAGGGTTTAGAGTCTAGGGTTTAGGGTTTAGGGCTTAGAAGGTAAGAACGAAAGTAAATGTGCTTAGTGTACATGTATGTGCATGTGTGTTTGGTGTATTGAGGGTTCCTGGTCTGTGTTAAGCTTTCTGAATAGCCTCATGATATGATTGATACAAGTACAACGGCTTTACAAGCCGAACGCCTTGGAGCAAGGTCGGTTCCTAGTCATTTCGGTCTTTCGTCTAGAAGACATGGCAAGATACCGTCACCTTCTAGACCCCAACACCTGAACATGAAGCCTATAAACCCAGCCTGGACTCTGATCCCTTCGCCCAAAACCAGAAACATGACAACCGCCAGACTCTACCTACTGCACGTAGCCCCCCACCAACAAAAATGTCCGCGGGGGCTGAAGTGCATAGAACAAGACCGGAGCCGGTCATGAGGAGCAGAAGCACTACAGAATCTGATGCCAGTGACGTCGAACGGTTTAGGGTTTAGGGCCGTTTAGGGTTTAGGGTTTAGGCATTAGGGTTTAGATGTTAAGGATAGTTCGGGTGCACGGTTTAGGGTCTAAGGATGGGGGAGGGCTTCACAGGTCTGAGGCTTCAGGCAACAGGATTGTCCTTAAAGGCAACCCTCAGTAAAGAATCGGTTTAGGGTTTAGGGTTTTGGGTTTAGGGAACCCTAATTCCTAAACCCTAAAGCCTTAGTAAAGAATCAACCTCCCAGGGCCCATGTACCCATGTCGCCCCATATGCTTAGGTCATACTTCAACCTTGAAGGGTTCCTGCATAGGTACTTTAAGGCCAAAGTGTATACCATAGAGGTGCACCCTAAACGGCCCTAAACCCTAAACCCTAAACGCCTAAACACCTAAACCCCAAACCACTAAACCCTAAACCCTAAACCCTAAACCCCTAAACCCTAACCGCCTTTTATATGGTTACTTTACGCTCCTTTTGGGATCCCTGCTCTTGCTTCCGTGCAGCGGGATCAAGGCCTCCATGCCCCACTGGCCATGCTGGCAGTGCAGGACCCCTTCAGGGCTTCAGGTTGAGGGTTTAGGGGTTTAGGGGGTTTAGGGTTTAGGGTTTAGGGTTTAGGGTTTAGGGTTTAGAGTTTAGGGTTTACGGTTTAGGGCTTAGCGTTGAGGGTTTAGGGTTTGGGGTTCAGGGCAAGGGCTTAGGGTGTAGAGCTTCGTTTCGGGTTTCGTTCCGGGTGTTAGGGGCTATCGTGTTCTGGGTTCAGGGATTACCTGAGCCCTAGAGCCTAGATCCTCCAAGTGTTGTGATGCGGCTTCGGGATCAGGAGTTGTGGATCTTGGGAGTAAGGATGTTGGCTTTAGAGGTCCTGAGTTAATCCAGCTCCAAATTACCACTTTATTCAACCAGCTAGCTGTAGCCTAGGCTACCTACATATTCAGGGTTCCTTGATATGAAACCCGTATATAGTTCGCCGACAAAGCAACAAGGTCTTGGAAGCTACAAGCACACTGGTTTAGGGTTCAGGCGTCTAGGGGTTTAGTGTTTAAGGCTTTGGGGTCTAGGGGTTTAGGGTTTTGATTCGGGTCTGGGGTTTAGGATTTAGGTTTAGGGTTTAGGGAACCCCAAAAGGTCTTAAGCGCTTGAGATGGACTTGCTCAAGACATACAGGTCCCGGAGCCGCGAAGCATCTATTTAGGGCTTCCTAAGACTGGGGCTTGCAATAAAAATATGCCCTAAACCCTAAACCCTAATTACATCGATACGAGCCGTCCTCCCTAAGCCTGAACCATAAACCCTAAACCCTAAACCCTACCTATAGTCTCCATTGTAGTTCCTTTTTGTGGTTCAACCAATTTTATATTTAGGATCCTATAGCTATAAGGTAACCCCCAAAAAGGAACTACAATGGAGACTATAGGTAAACCCTGAACCCTAAACCCTAAACCCTAAACCCTTCCAGGTACGCTTCTACTCGAACCCTTCTGGGAGCCTAGGCCCCTGCACCTTAGGCGTGATGTTCATTTAGGGTTTAGGGTTTAGGGTTTAGGGTTTAGGGTTTTCACCCCAAACTCCAAAACCGAAAACCCTAACGCCCTAAACCCCAATGTCCAGAACCAAAAGCCCTATAAAGCCCTAGACCCCAATGCTCAAAACCCAAAGCCCTAAACCCTTTAAACCCCAAACCCTCACGCCCTACACCCCAAAACTCTATAAACCCTAAACCCCAATGCCCAAAAACCAAAGCCCCAAAACCCTATAAACCCTAAACCGCAAGTCCAAAACACAAATGTAGAGTCCAAAACACAAATGTAGGGACCCTAACAATTAGAATAGGGTTTTGGGGGTTCCTTACTATAAACACAGTTTAAAAAAAAACCCAAAACCCTAAACCCTAATTATTCAGGCCCCTCTATTAAACCCGAAGCTTTGATCCAGAGATCCTCGCTCAGCATTTCCCGCAGGGCTCCAGTCTCGCAGCTCGTAGATGTAGAACCGGAGGCTGGTACCGTAGCCTTTAGTCGCCTAGTTGCTTATAGGGTTCAGGGCTGGTACCGCAGCCTTTAGTCGGTTAGTTGCTTATAGGGTTTGGGGCTGGTACCGTAGCCTTAAGTCGCCTATAGGGTTTGGGGCTGGTACCGTAGCCTTTAGTCGGTTAGTTGCTTATAGGGCTTTGGGGTGCATGGGTTTAGGGTGTAGGGATAGTGACGTATAGGGCTTAGGGCTAAGGGGTGCATGGGTCTAGGGCTTAGGGATTAGAGTTAGTTTGGATGTTACGGTCGGGCTTCGGGATTTACGGCTTCGGGGGTTTAGGGTTCAGGGTTGTCAATGGCTTTGGCAGTGATATGCACCTCATATATATATATATATACATACATACATACATACATACATACATACATACAGACAATTAACATATGGGTAGTTTTCTAAATTAGGGCCCATGTTAGAATACTCTTTGTTGGGCTGCCGTGATATTTCTATGAAACAAGGGACGCCAATGTACAGAACTACCCACATATGTAAGGACTGCTATCGTAAAGTAAGGTACTGCACTGTACTATAATGTAGTGTAGCGTCGCGTAACGCAATGTGATATAGCATGTGTATGTAGTGTAATAACTTGTGGTGCAAGGTTAAGTTATGTAATGTCATGAAATGTTGTCATGTACAATGTTCCTAAGCATGGGATGCGCTGCTTGACAGCAACACACCAAGGCCAAACGTATGAACCGCTCGAGTGAGGCTGTTTCTCCGGAAATTACTCCAGGAACGCTGTCGATGCCGCATACATGTACTGGGATGCATACTTTGGCGTGGTTCGTATCAGTGCTCTGAGTGCTGTGAAATTTTATCATTTGTTGGGAAGTCACCGAAAATTCGTGAAAACCTCGGAAATGTGATGAAAACCCTGTGCATTTCCATATAGTCAGGACCTGCCAAAAACCTGCGAGAATCTGTGACAACCCGTGAAGGTATATAGGTTTCTGGTCCACGCTATACGATCGTACTGAGCTCCGTGCCCCCTGAACTCTACATCCCTAAACCATGCAGCCGCTAGACCAGCCGAACCTCAAATCCCTAAACTCTAACCCACCCCCAAAAAACGAAACCCTCTAATCCCGTGTACAGACCCCACTACCCTTGCACCGCCTGGTACGACACTTACATACGAAGCCCTTCTAAGTCGTAAGCTTAAGGCTCGGGAACAAATGCAGGGCTGCTGCCAGATCGCACTGAGTGGCAGTGGTGTGTCGGCTCGAGGCCAAGGAGGGACGGATAGATCACCAAGTCTTTCCTCAAGCTTCTGGGGTTTAGGGAGTTTAGTATTGATGGCTTCGGGCATAGTGTTCAGAGTTTAGGATACATTTCAACCATCTATATATATATATATATATATTCATACATACATTCATACATACATACGTACGTACGTACGTACATATGTTTCGTACATGCATGCATGCATGCATGTGTGCATACACACATGTGTACAAGCTTGTACACAGCTTGAGGCAGAGACAAGCGCATCGATAACCAAGCCTCAAAACAGCTAATTGGACTAGGAGTGCGAGTACATGTGGTGCAAGTGGACCTAGCCACATGGCTGCAACACAACCATACTGATAGACATATACCTGGTTGGACTAGTCTAGACTGCAGCAGATGACATTAGATCAGACAGCTAGATGTGCAGCTGCTTACTTACACATAACATACTGGTATCTCTGTATGTGTGTTTGCCACACGACTGCAGCGGGCAAGCGGCGTGTCTGGCAACCATCCGAGCTCCTAGCAGGTTGTTTGGGGTTGCGTTACAGGCATTTGCAAGTATTCCTCGTGAAGGATCCGTTGAGGCTACTACAGGGGTTTAAGCCGACTTGTCAGGCTAACTGCCATTGAAAAACGGGTTGCCGGGTTCAGGTTTTCAGAGATCAGAGTTTGAAGCCTCAGGTTTGGGAGAGGGCTTGGGCAACTCACGGGAGTGGGAGTCCCAATAGTCCCTATATGACCTATATACTCGTCCCGAAAGTCCCTCCGCCAATCTCCCTGAAGCATCAGTAGCCCCAGGGGTCCATGTAATTAGCAAATAGTCTGTAACTTGACCTATATAGGGACTACTGTAAGGCCACAGTATATGCTACTTGGGTACATGGGCCCTCAAACCCTAAACCATCATACTACCCTTATAGAAACCCTTGAAGAAGGCTTTGAAGGACCTTTCCTCGAAGACCCCAATCTCCGAGCTTCCGACGCCCTCAACTACAAGCACTGAAGCCAGGAACATGAAAAACCCAAAGCTACTAAGTCCCAAAACCAAAGGGTTTAGGGTTTAGGGTTTAGGGTTTAGGGTTTAGGGTTTAGGGTTTAGGGTCCTGAACCCTCAGCCAACATCAAAGCCACATAACCCAGCCCATCTGCCCTCAGTCCCTCAACCCTAAACCCTCGAAGCCTCTCAAGCCCTCCCTAAAGCCTACACCCCTAACCCTCAGGCCATAAACCCTGGAGTCTCGACAAACTTCCCTAAACCCTAAAGGCCTGGCACCCTAGAGCCCTAAAGGCCGCGCCAAACGCTAAACCCCAAAGGCCTTAAGCTCGGTTTAGGGTTTAGGGTATATAGGGTTTAGGGTTTAGGGCTTAGAGTTAAGGGTTTAGGGCTTAGGGTTAAAGGTTTAGAGGCCTCAAATCCCAAAGGCCCTAAACCCCGAACCAGTCAAAACAAACCCTGCGCCCTAAAGGCCCTAAGCCCCCGACGCCAAGCACCAAAGGCCTCAATGATGCGAGCGATAGACAGAAACCGTAAGAACCAGGAGCCCCTAAACCCTAAACCCCCTGAGCCCTAAACTCTAAACCCCCTGAGCCCTAAACCTTAAACGCTCAACCCTAAACCCCCAAACCCTAAACCCTGAACCCCAAATCCTAAACCCCCTAAGCCCCAAATCCTAAACCCCCTAAACCCAAAACTTCCTGAACCCTCAGCTTCGAAGGCCTCAGCCTCGGCGTTGTGTGGCTCCAACCTCTTCAGGAGCTGCTGGAGCGAGCGAAAGACCTGCCGACTCTGGCAAAAGAGGCCTTAAAAGGGTTTAGGATTTAGGGTTTGGGGTTTGGGGTTTGGGGTTTAGGGGTCTAAAGACTCAACAGTCTAAGAACGAATTTGGATTCTATGGGGTTCTAGGCTCAGTATAGGTTTTCCCTAAGGGTCCATGTGCTGAATAGTATAGACTCCGGGACTATATAGGTGCTTTGGGGTCCAAGTATATATACTATCTGGGCAATGTAGGGGCCTTAATAGGCAGAATAGGGTTTTTGGATTTATTTTACCATAGTTATAACAAGTAACCCCCAGAACCCTGTTCTAGTTACTAAGGCCCTTATATTACACCCCTAAACCCTAAACCCTCCCTAGGCGACTGGGGCTCACAACGGGCTGTGTCTTGCATTTTCCTTGCAGCCGGCCCCTAGGTGTCTCAAGCTCTGCAGAGCCTCAAAAGTAGCTGTCCGGTTCTTGAGATAGGCAAGGCAG